GACCCTTATTTTCCATCTGTAAAGAGGCCACTTTCCCAAAACTATCAGGAAGACAACAGCTGCATCTGCTATGTTGTCTACTCCAACAGGTCACATCAGGAAGATCTATTTACTGTTGACAGTATTTGGAACTCTGCATTTGGAACGGAAGGTTATTTCTGCATGAAGTGTTCACAGCCCACTGGCAAGGTCATTACAATTAGCTCATGCATGTTTATTTGAGAAATTTAAGCATTAATACTCATTCATTTGTACAAATTTGTGTTTTTATACAAAATATTTTTTGTGCTTCTTAAAGCTTTGTTTCTTAGTAATAGAAATATGAGACATCACTACCATTGATGGAGACCTTGTAAAACAGAGAACAACATATTATGCAGCAACAATAAGGGGCTCAGCATAAAACAACAGGGAAAAAATATTATATGAAATTAAATAATTTCTGCTTCCACTGCTGGAACAGGAAATCTGCTTTATGATCCAGACTAAATTGGCTCAGTTTTGCATAGCACGAATAACCTGCTTTGACAGCCAATGAAATATCAATAGATTAAGTGACTATTACAAATCATCAATTAATATGCCAAGCTAGTAGATCTACCAATAATTTAATTGCATTAAAAGTTTACAAGGATTAATTAATGGCCAAGTAAGTCTTTAGGTACATGCAAGAAGTATATTAAATTGCATTTGCAAAACTGCTGAGGTGATACCAGAAACTAAAATGATTATTTTTCTTTTAGATGCTTCAGACTAGGCTGTTTTCACATGATTGGAGAAAACAGCAAACGAAAAGGCAAATGTATATAGCTACAGCACCCATATCTCACAAAGGATCAGAGAAAGCCAGGGGCCAGCGGAGCGCTACAGAAATAAAACAGGGAAGAGATCTAGACAAAATTTTTCCAATGAAGTTGATTCTGATGTATACTCTAATATGAAAGGCATCTTTTAAGGCTACGGTGATATAATGGCACAGGAATAACATATGCCTTAAAATGGACCCTAAAATTCACATTTGGGAAGGCCATGTGGAAGAGAAGAACAGAGTGAAACAAGTTGAAAGTATGGACACCAGTACCAAAAAGCAGGTCTTAAAGATGTAGGAAATGCTGCAGAGGCAACAAAAGACCAAGCATAAGTTGATGAGTTGGGTAGGATTTTTTTTTTTTTTTTGTGATGGTGATTTCCTTTTAAAAATAAAATATAGTTAGCCCAATATAAAAATTAAGATGACTGAAGTTATCCTGGAGGACACATCATAGGTAGAAAGTTTGGAGTAGGATGGGATACCCAAGTAGCGAAACTACCAACTCTTATAAAAGTTTGTAACTACTTATTGTTAAATCTAAAATAACAGCAGCGTTCCTTAGCTTCTCATTTGGTGAGAGTGCAACATTTCAACTTTTCATCTCAGTTTAGAAAATTAAATTGCTAAAATACATAAATTTTCTGACTGTCATTCTGAGTGGATTCTTGTAGATTTTCGTCTGCTGTTTAAAAAGTGTAGGTGAAAACTTTGGGGATTAAAATGGTGCCTACATGTCTAAGAGAGAAGCAAAAGGAAGCTTAAACCCTAGTAGGGAAGTGGATACAAAGTCAAGCTTCAGGACTTTCCTCCTCCTCAAAAGCAGATCATGTGTCTTCAAATATTTATAAAACAAACATTCTGACAGAACTTCCATCTTCCACACCACAGGAAGAAAACGTGGAGAGGGAAGAGCCGTCAAGCTGTAACACCGACAGGCTGAACAAAGGAGACCTTCTCTTTGGCAACAGTGAGGAGCAGGAGCACAAGTCAAATCCCACTTTCACTTGCATTTTTGTGCCCCTTCGAGGCTACCTGGACCCCTCAAGACCATAAGAGCACAGCACCAAGCACAGCCAGCAAGAATCCCCCTCCAGCCAACTATTGCAGTCTGAAGGCCATGAGTTGCAGCCATGCTAACTACTCGAGCGACGCTGAAAGCAGGATAGGGAATCTGCTCGGGAACTGCATGAAGGCAAATTTGCTGTGCGACTGAATGTTGGCAGGCTTGAGCGGTGTTGCCTTTTCTGCTAAGACTCATTTATCTTCCTGCGTTATCTGTTAGAACTGCACCCCAGTACACTTTGTTAATTTTCTCTGCTAGGAAAAATAACCAAGATCTTGGAATCCAAACACAGAATTATTTTCACTCGTTTGTCTCCAATTTCTAATTTACCCATCTAATTACAGCAATAATTAAGCTGAAGAATTTAATATGAGTGTTTCCACAGGTACCCACTGCAGTCCAGTGAAATTGTACCAGAGGTCGTGCAGGGAACCCATGTCTGCAATAACAGACTTTCTATGTTATATAGCCAAATCCTACACCCAAAAGGAAACGTATAGCAGAAATTCTCTCCCATAATTTTATGGCAACTGTTGGCTTTCCCAGACAATTGGCATCCCGTACAGGCGCTACGACACAATCTGTGTCATATCTTCGCACCAAATTCACTGTGTATTTGCAAAAAAGCTGCATATGTTGGTTTATCTTTCCAGGATTAACTTGGATTTCAGCATCTGAAATCTGGTAAGAACATAATTACTTGGAAATTCTATATTATCTGTACACATATCTCACCCACCTAATGCTAACTCTGGTTAAACAGAATTATTGATACCTCTAGTGGGAAGTATAATTTTGATTTTTTTTTTGTTGCTAGTGCTAAAATAATATAGGACAATGAATCAACCATAGCTGCTTGTATCAGTACAGCGCATGGAGTGTTTATAGTGTAACAGAGATGTGTCACCATATGAAACACTGACATAACATAGAAAAGAACAAGCTACAGGACAGCATTTCAACTGAATGCAAAGGAAGAAAAAAAAATAAAAATTTTTGTTCTCCTTTTTAGCCTTTTGGCTAAAACATATCATCTCCAACTCCCCCAAAAATCCAACAAAAATTCTTATGGTATATGCTGTGCCATATTTAAGGAAGCAGACCCATCAAAATATAATAGAACACCTTAAAAAACAATTAAACACACTATTCTGAGAAGATAGAGGCCGTGTATGCGCTAGACAGGTTTGAGAAAGAAGCTTACTGTATATTACTGTACTGAGGCTTGTTATTCTTTCACTAGCCACATTTTCTGGGTGGTGAAAAAATCAGCATCTAATACAATTTACCTTCCTCGCTTCAAATCTCAGTATGTTTTTTCCTGATCTTCAGTTTTTTTTCCACTGGAATTCAAGGTTAGAAAACACGCCAGCTATGGATACAGTTTTATTTCAAAAGGGCAAAGCAAAAGTAGAATTTTCAAAGCGAAGAAAACAAAGGGATGTTGGATTTTATAGGTTATCTTCGCTGATGAGCTTTTTCTCTACGAATGCACCAAGCAGTGCATTTAATGAAATAACAGTGCCCTCTAGTGCCTTTATCAAGCATATTGTTCAAACTTTTAACACACCAAAACACCACGTTCAGTTTGAAAAAGATGTAGAATAAAATTCCTTTGTTAACTTAGTTATCAGTTCCGGACAAAATTATTTTTCCTACTTATGTCTGATTAATATATTGAGGAAAAAACCTGTATGCATGCATACAGTAGTTGTTACTGCACAAAGTGGGAAAGAATAAGGTGGATGCCTTCTCTGCAGCTACACTGCCTCGATAAATATTGACCATATTTACAGGAATGCAAAAATGAGAAAGAACATGGCATACATTTCAAATGCAATTTAGAGAATGGAGTGTGAGCCATCCAAAAAGCTTTAATTTACAAAGCAAGCATTTCTGATAAAGAGGCTCTGATTGAAGATTATGACATATCAAGACAGTTTTCACAGTCTTTCTTACAATCTCAATAGCACTTTCAAGTGAAGCAAACATGTAAAATGTCACAAAATCCAGAATAATTACTAAGGTCAGCTCATTATCTGTGACTCAGAGGTAGTTAAAAGAAAATCCAGTAAGGAATAAGCTCTTGATAGAATATTAATATCTACTTTGAACATCCTGGCTATTGAAATACTAAATTTTCTTTTACTGTTATAATTTTTTTTTGTTTTCCTAACAAGAATTTTTACAAAGGCTGCTGAAATACACAATACTTCTTCTCATGACCAGAACATGTTTTCTTATGTCTGATTAGGTAGGCTGTATTTTTAAAGTATACTTATACATCCTTTTAATAACTTTCCCCTGACACAAATCAGCTTTTCAGAAGCCTATCCTTACAACTAATTACTATTACTTCTTTTAAAATATACATATATATCAGTTTGGGTTAGAAAAATGGATCTTAAGAATGTAGCTGGACCTATAAAATGTAGGTTTAGACCTATAAAATAAAGTTTATCACACTCTGCAACTGAAATTACGGCACATTACATATTTAGGTGAGTATCTGTTTATAGCTCAATACATCTGGCAACTTATAACTGAGGACTGCTGCATAAGATCACTTTTCTTACAAGATACTTACTTATGATATCAAAATTCTGCATTGTATTTATTTTCCCAACAAAAGGTAGGTTTTATGTGGAATAATGAACAACGGGAGACAGGTCAAAATGTTCCCTAATTCCACAGAGATCAGCAGTTCTGCAAAGCCTTTGCAGTCGTACTGTAAAGCTTGAGCTGTGGTTTCTGTGTGCCACCTACATAAGTTATCTTAATGTACAAATCAAGCCTTTTTCATAGACCTTTTAAGAGCTTCTTTAGGTCCCCAGTTATCTTTTTGTATATACAGGCCACCGTGTGTTCTTACCATGTCCTACTTTTTTTTCCTGTGGCTTTTTCATACATTTAAAGCTGTACCTAACTGTGAAGAGCTACCACTAAACTGGCATCGTCAGGCTCACACAAAGAAAATGTCATCTCTTATGATCATATTAATTATCATCAAATAAAACACTTCATACTCTATAGCAAAATTCTCCTGTACTTTACATACATGATTTATTCAGGTTATCATTCTGTAATGACCCTCACTGTAGGTTATGCAGGAATTACTGTACTTACTTTTGAGATCTAGATTTCTGGCTCCGGCTGTGCTCTGTGTTGTGATCTTGGTGTCAATTTTTACAGTGTGGAGATTGTTGGTATCCCGTGATATCATCACATTATGCCACTGGTTGTCATTCAGAGGTTTATTAGAACTTCCTTTGATGAGATTTGCACCATTTCCCAAGTCGAACACATAGTGTAAATACCTGTGAAAAGAAAAAAAAATGGAAAAGTTTCCTTTTTCTTCACATAGCAAAGGGACACTAACTAATATGTCTAATATTTCCTATTTCCTTGTATTCCTCAGTAGCGCTGGTAAAACCAAAAGAAAACAATGAATACCAAATGGGGAAGCAACCTTAATTCAGAGAAATCACCACTTGTTTAGATGACCTGAGATGCAGTCCCAAGGTTCTGGAAAGCAACGAGCACTCCACGTACCAACACGTGCATACGTACGTAGAGAGAGAACAAGAGGAAGGCTACAAACTAGTACTTCTTTGGGGTAAACACTATAGAAGTTACACCTATTATTTACTTGCATATTTCTCAGGCATCTAGCTTCATCTGAAAGAAAAAGTCACAACAAAGCATGTGAAGTTTGACGTGAAGAAACATTCATCGATCATCTACGTCCAAAGAATTGCGTCCTAAACTTTCGCTTGTGTTTTTCCTGACTGTTCTTTGTCAATTATGCTAATCCATACATACCCTTTTACTAATTCAACCACAATGAAATCATTTCCATCGCCACTGTTATAGAGTATCAATCCATCCAGAGAGGTGGTTTTGAACTGGAAAAAAAGGTGCATAGATGTATATGCTTGTAGCGTGGCCAACGCAATGTAACTTGCTTTTGTTTTAAAGGTTACAGGGTCTGCTATGATGTTCCTGAACCCAAATCTTGCATTTAGCTCACAATAATCGATGTCTCCGTTTTTACATAAGTCAATGTATGCCATGCCATTAAATGTAAGACTCTGGAGATGCCCAATGAAATTGGAAGGCACAGAAGACAGGTAGCGCCGTTCTGTTATTATTCCTGTTTCTATGTTGTGGAATTCCAGTCGCGTGTGATCACCAGCCATTTGACCTTTAAATAGCAACAAGAAAACACATGTTAGCATCTCAAATGGGAAATCAAAGAGCACATCATATGATTAAATATTTGCATCAATTTCACACTTTCCAGGATGTGCAAGGCCAATGCTTGGCTCCAAAGAGGATTCTTCTGAATTCACCCAAACTACTAGTAAACATCTGGGAGCCTTCCCACTGAGTTCAGTATGCTTGGATAAGGCAAACAGCAAGATTTCTAAACTGAAGCACAATACCACCATATATCAAACTGCCACCAAAATCCCTCCCTTTGCTTACACTTAAGCAGACCTGTGGTTTTCCTATCAGCAAGTGCAATTAATTAATTACAACACAAACGACACAAAGGCAAATCTCAGAGGTAAAAGCCACAACATTGGAGTTCCATGGAAGAGACGCGTAACATTTTGGGGGATATTATTCCATGTATTTTGCTTAAGAGTGAGGAAGAGGTAAGAGGAGAGAAGGACTCCTGTTTAAGCTGTCTTGGGAACGTTAATTCTAGCCCTGCTGCAAAACTCTGCTTTGTACCCCAGGGAGAAACTGGGGAGAAGGGGGCAGAGCCCCCAGAGATGGACAAAGCAGAAAGCCTGCAGCAAGGGTGTGTGCCAGTGTCTTGTATCTTGAAAATAGTGAGGGACTTGCTTACAGCAGAAAGGTGGCCAAAACCAAGCCTCACAGCTACCTCTGGGTGTTTCTCTGCCACGCAAGGACTCCTGCACAGCAGAAAGCCTGGAATTTGCTGACTGTATAGCTAGTCTGAAGGACAGGATCAACACTGCCAGGGCACCCTGCATACACATCAGGTAAGTTTTTAAGCTTGTTATTAAATACCTTATCCATCACATGAAAAATGTGGCCACTGAAAAGTTCCCTTTTCTAACAGAGCTCAGATTTTTTTCCATGCTCATTTTAAAGAAGGAGGGCAGTACTATCACAAGGCTGATTCATATGGTTGCGTTGTGGGGGTATGATGACAAAATAGTGGGGTTTTTTTTTACTAATTAATTTTACCACTTAATCTACCTTTTGCAAACCACAGCCTAGATTTCCCAGTTCCTTGGATGTTCCGTGTCTCTCACAGAGTACAAAGGTGAGCAGCAGACCTAGCCAAGCTGGAATAAACACTGGCATAAAGTGATCTGTAATTCAAGATCCCACAGCTGCAGCACAAAGCTGTTGACAGGCTGAGTTCCCTCTGTCCTTCTACTCCAGGAGAAGAGTGTGAGCTCTCACCCCAGCTGGACGTGTTTAGCGGTGACACAGAAAGCCCCGAGGCAGGCTCAGGCAGCTGTACCTTCAGAGGCTGTGTAAGCGAGTGTCTGTGTGTGCATGTGTGAACAGGGGAAGGATAAGGGCAAGATGAACGGAGGTATTTGGGCTTTTCCCAGGGAGATGGATTCACAAACAGGTCAAGTCGCCGCACTGAGAAACAAATACAGGTATCAGTGCAGTTACAGTGAAAACAGGACTGCAAGCTTTAATACAACTGAAAAAATATTGTTCTAATAATTGATGATCAATATTTACAAGCAGCTTACTTAGCTTCAGGGATGCATTGTGACCTAACTTGACTGATGTCACCTAACACCATCAGCATCTGGGATCTGCATCATCACTGAGCACTGCAAAAGGCACCTAAATCCCCAAGGACAGCCTTCCCGATGTTCTGGTTTCTAAACATCACCTCTCCTGCTGTATGAGCAAAGGTGGGTGCTTCCTTGCTCCCCTTCAGGGAGCTGTCTTGAAAAATGCCAAATCTGTAACTTTCTGCAAGGCCAAGAGCTGTATCCCGGATCACAGCCAGAGACCTGAAGATCATGTTTAGAGGAGGAACATTCTGTATTCCAGCCTTCTACCACTTCAGATAGCATTGAACAAATGTCACGGCAAAAAATCCACTCAGATTTGCCCTGTAGCCCACTATCCTCACTACATTCACTACCTTCAATGTATTTCTTTCTTGAGCATAGTAATAAAAAAGTTCCAGAATCTGGGCTCACATCCCAAATCTCCCCCTAACGTTTCAGTTGTACAAACGTGCTAACGGGACTTGAGACTTCACGTAATGCTCCACAGTACTGGCAACCACAGCAATGAAGAAAAAGAGAGAGACCAAAGCCTGTGCTTACAAGGTTGATTGATTTGGGGGTTTCGGTTTGGGGGTTTGTTTGTTTCTTTGGATTTTCGTGTCAGGTTAAAACATGTCAGGTTGATGCACTAGATGCATTACCTATTGCAATGCTACGGGACATCATACAAAAGGCCAAGGGAATTTCTGTTCATAACCATAAGCTAGGTATCCTTTCCATTATCCGACTGTAGTGACCTCCTTCAGTCCACTTTTATCTTCTATGCATTTCCAGAAAACAAAACAAATCAGAGCTGCAAGTATTTAAACTCTCCTACAATGAGTACAATTTTCAAAACCACCTGTATGACTTCTGATGAAAGTTAGTTATGATTCTCAAAGGTATTCTTTATCCGCACACAAATTATGCATTCAAAGATAACCCAGGGATGAAGAGGTGTTATTTTATAACCTGTAAAAAATGGAAAGTCAGGCTAAATTATCTAATGGCTTCCTCTCCAGCTTAAGCTTCCTGGATCTGATGAAGTTTTTTTCAGATGTGACATAGGAAATGGAATCAAAAAAGGGAAACACAGTGTGTGGTGGTGGTAAGCTGGAATTTTTTGGAGGAAGTCCATTTTTTCCTCATGCTCCCTATAAGATAATAACAACCTTCCACATGAATAACTACTGAATTATATTTTAACCACATTTCTGATTTTTGGGACATGTGAAAAAAATTTTAGAGAAAGAGCACTGCAATCTGATACAGTAACTCCTTTGCTACCGCCTTAGGAAACCGAAAGCTACTACACATTAAACTGCATTGTGTACATTTGACTTTCTACCGGATGGAAGTGAAAACTTAAGCTCATGAAGGCTTTGGCAACACACTATGTTGAAAAAAAAAAAAACAATAAAGTACTAGTGCTTATTTCACCTGATTAGACTATATGGGATAGACCCTCCTGTTTTGATCTTAATCCTTCACGTTTATTTTTAACTTTTCTGAAGCTGTGCTCAGCAGCTGGGACTGAACCCAAAGGTGGAAACTGTACTTCTTGGTGGTTTTGTAACTTGTAGTATTTGTAAATAAATACATCTGCTCTGAGGAGCCCAAGAAATCTGCGTTTGCTTTTAGACACTATTTTATTCAGATCTAAACAGCTTCCTCTAACTAGAAAACATCCTCAAAGTAGCCTTATTATTTGAGTTGACAGCTGAAGCATCAAGATTATATTTTTCAATATAGTTCCTCCAGTAATATATATTAATTTTCCCAAAGAAAATAACTGGTTTAGGCCATCTGCTTTCTTGGGAGAACGACCCAAAGCATCACCAATTTTTGCTTCACCTCTGGAAGATCTATTGGTAGTTTCTGATTCTAGAAATCAGGGTTTTGCAGCTATATGAATACAGAGCAATTACTTTTCTACCAGTGACACGGTCTTCGGTGTTCTGCTGAAGTGAAAGAAGACTACTAAAGAAGGCGTTTTCCTTTTAAACACCCATAATTTTACAATTTTAACATAGCTTAAAACCAATGAGAAAAGCTATTAAATACTACATGAAAACAAAAGAACACACTAAATAGCTACCACAAAACTAGGCACACTGCATTGTGCAGGGAGTTGGGGCCAGAAGCCAGATCTGTTGCTATTAACACCACATATGTAAGCTTTATCTTTAACAGAACCAAATCAAAGTCTTCTCTATTATAACTTCTGCTAATATACACATAGGAATATATTTCTAACATCTCCTAGCATTCACGCCATGTTTTTCTCCCATCCCAACTACCATTTTGGTATTTGAGAAAAGCCTGTTGCCCTACATTTAACTGCTGAGGACAGCTGATACAAGATGTAAACACAACAGAATATCCTTCCAACATTCATGAAATTCTTTCTTACAGCCATGGTTCAGAGTTTAACCTTACAGAATAAATTCAGTGTGTTGCCAAAAACATTTTTCCTGCTTTCTCATTAGTGACGTATCAAATGATTCATCTGTAGAAAACATTCATTTAAGTCATCATGAAGGCTTTCATTAATTCAATAGCAACGTTAGGGTAACATTAATATCAAGTGTAATAACACACTTGCAGTAGCAGTATTTCAAGATGCATAACATGGATTCTGGATGCCTCTGTTGCATTCAGATAAAGGCATTTTACTTTTGTCATTTTTCGGTTGGTGTTTCCCCCCAGTACCCCGGAGTCGCAATGCCACACTACCTGTCATGGCCTGCTGGTCATCCACCATTAACTTTAAACTTTTTCCTCGCCGAACCACACGCACTGTGTGCCACTCATTATCATTGAGGTTATAGCCAGCAAAAAGGGTTTCTGGACCTTTGCCTGTAGGATATGCCAAACAGTCATTATGCAATCTTTACATCAGTTTACATGTGAACCTCACAGAGAAAAAGAGAGAGAGAGACTGGCTGGGCAAATGTTAAAAGTCACATCAAGCAAGAAAATTACAAAGTATAAGCAAACCTCAAAATATAGAGCTACTATGGTAAAACACTCCTACTGTAGATTTAACTCTATAAATGTATCGTATATGCACATTTAATGAAGCAGGCTGTCATAAATAGGCACAGTCAACATGGATTTAGTGATGCATTTTCCAGTCACGGAAGAAATGGGATTACTGCAGCCAGAAGAACTTCAGCATATGCTTACAAGACTGGATTTTGGTTTGAGTAAAAGGTACACGTGGTAAATATGGGTGTTATGCTTTTCTTAATCTACATCAGCTTCTCAGTCTATGCTTGTTCATTAGGACTTCTCAGAAGATCATCTATTGCCTTATCACCCAGATGACTCATTAATATTCAGATCCAGTACCTTCTGATGTTAGTGGACCTCCAAACCACACTTTCCTTCTTCATGTAATGGATACCTTTTTTTGTAATCTGCTATTTTTGTAAGCAGTACAAACACTTAGAAGCCAATATAGTTCTACATCTAGCACAATGTACTTGCAATCACTGAAGTATTCACAGATGTAGGAAACAGGGTATCTTTAATACCTAGGAAAAAAAATCTCTTAAGAAAATGGTTATGGAAATTGTGCCTTGCATTGTTGACCAAGAAGAGAAATAAAGAGACAAAAATCCTGACTATGAACTATCACTGATGAGTAGGCAATTGACCAAGCGCTGAACCCATCAATCAAAACTTCTGTGCTCAAACCTGAATTATCGGACCTATGTGGGGACTGTCCAAAAGGTAAAGCTAACCTGCAATTAACAAATTACATTCTTGCCAGATAGAGACCCCCCCGGCCCGTTTTTCAGTTCCTCTAGCATAATATGAGCTGCTGATAACTAAAAGAGAAGTATAATAAAAGTAACATTTGACACAAACCCATGAGGGCTACACTGAGCCAGACAATTACCTCCACTACGTCCTTTCAGGTGACTACATCCCATGTGTCAATCTTCTTTTAAAAAGGGATGTGTCACTGCCTCTGACACTCTCCCATATTTCTTTTTGGGCTCTTTTCCAGACAGTGCAAGCTAACTGTGACGGAAGAGGTCTATTAATAAATGGGTACTATATGACACTGTCTGAAATCAAAGCCTCTCTGACTTCAGGACTGCATGGAGGGAAAAAGCCACTGACAGCTTGATGTAGCTGTTCAGCATATTGGACATTTTGCATCTCTGACTTTTTCTGTTTTCTATCAACTTTTTTTTTTTTAATTGCTGCTGGCTGATTACCCTGCTTTTATATGCAATCTTCATTATTTTGAGCATGTCAAGGGACCTCCAGGAATAAAAATACTCGTTATAACAAAGATTCTGATAACATCGTGTTGCCTTCTCTATGTCTCTGTATTGACATTAGGTGAGGGAAGGCATGCGAACCCAGCAGAAACAGATGCTGTCAACTACCTGAATTGTTCTGTTCCTTACGCGTTTACTTTCTTTGACAAGAGAAACCAGTTTTGCATAAAGCTTAAAGAACAATGTTCTCTTTGGATACAGTGACATGGATGCAGTGAATAATGCTTTTTAAGCCATTTCTATTATTCTAAATTCTAATGGGGGCTTCAATGTAAGCAATTTTTAACTAGATGTGGGAGACAGGGGATGGGCTTTACAAAAAATGCTTAAATGACATGAGTACAAATCTTAGTGAGAGTCAACAGCCCTGCCTAGATACCATATTAAACATGTTTGCCCTTCTTCATTTGTTGGTCCAACCAAAACATTTTTAAGTAGTTGAACTACTTAGTCTCCCTTATCTCATAACAGATCTCTAAAAGACCTAAAAGCACATACAATTTTAATTTGCTCTCACATTAACAACCCTCTGTTGTGTCCCATTCAAGTAAAGGTGCCTCAGCATATATAAATATCAAATCCAACTTGATTGCTCACATTTATACAGGCAAAGATGTCTATTATCTTTTAATGCTTAGGGACTTGTAAACTCTTCCTGTTGTAAAATTAAATATATGTTTTCCTATGTATCAGTCTATTTCCTCTGCAAGAGTACTCAGAATTAAAAAAAAAAAAAAAAAAAATCAGGTCAGAACTACCTGTAAGCTGCGTTTGTTTGCAGTGCATGCAATCCAAAAGTGGATTAAAGGGACGATGGTGAAAGGGCTCTGAAAAGAACAAACCTGGGAACAAGGAACTAGAAAATAGCAAGAACCAGTGTCCAGGTGTTGGGATGCACCTGTCACAAAGCAGCACAGTTTTCAGCTGGAGAGGTGGATGCGGAAGGACGGATGCCCACCATTCCTGTAGAGAATGGAGCGCTTGGGCTGCTTCCTGGGCAAGAACATGCTTTTGCATACAAAAGTAGTAAACGTGCTTGTGATTGGTGTCTTTAGGAGAAAATTTTCTAAATGCTCAAACACAGAAACATGTAGGAATCCCTTGATACTACACAAGGGTACAAAGACTGCAGAAGAAAACTCTTCTCTTGCTAAATGGCACTGGACAACCTCCAACACAGTTTGTATTGGTACTTTCCTTGCTGACTTTCAAGTATATCGACCCCAGATTAATTTAAACATCATATTGTTGAGATTGTAACAGTTCAGACTCTTCTGTCCTGGTTTATAATGCTCTAGTTTATATGCTATGTACTATAAATCTAAATCTACTGAATCATTGGCTAGCTAGTCTTATTCCAACTTTACATTGATCTGATCCCACTTCATTTCAAACACACCAGCAGAAGGTGCTACTGTATTTCAATAAGAATTGGCATATTGCCACTTTTGGGGGGCAAGGGGACCAGGACTTTTTTTTTTTTACCCCCTTCTCTTTAAAAAACATTAAATATCTCCCACAAGAAGAAAAGAAAGTGCCCTAATTTAAAAAAAAAAAGTATTTATTTCTGGTTTATATGGGCTGATACTACTCTTCCAACGTTATGTCTCTCCACTCCATACATGCTGTCCTTCCCCTGGAACTCCTTTGTCTCCTTCTAGACAGGACACAGTTAATTCACTTCCCATGCTCAGCACTTGCTCACTTTCTGAGCTCCTTATTCTCTCAGGTACTAATACCTTAATCATAAACCTTTCCTCTCAAAGACAAGTTGTAACCTGCAAAAATCCACTAAGTATCTCCTCTTGCTTAAGTATGAAATTTATTATCAATGTCTATCTTTCCCTATTTTAAAGGCTTAAATAACGACTAGATTTTTATGCATCCCTGGAGTGAATGGATAATGCCAAATAAAAAAGTACAGGCACTTTTACAGCTCCCACAATTTGCTCATGGTCCATCATGCCAGTAAAATCTGCACACCCATTTCAAAGCAGATAATTGCTTATACAACCATGTTTTTACATGGGAAAATACAAACTGTGCAGCCAGTCGATAGAGGTACAGATCTTGCTGATGCCATTCATTATGAACTGGGACATAGAAACATGAAGCCCCAAGCATCCTAAATTACAGATTTACTGAGGCACACAAAGCTGTGCTTTCTTTTCAGCACCTCAGCTAGACCTTAACTGCCTTTGATCTTTTTTAAAGGTAAAGGAAAAACGGATAAGCCTCCAAAAGAAAAATCTCATTTTCAGCGTGCTGAACATTCTAGATGTTTTCTGGAGATTCCTGTTCTCTCTACTATCTTGTCAGAAGCCTGTTTGGCCTAATTCAAGTGCTGAAAATTTGCTGAATTCAAATGGGGCTGTTGATTGATGGTAACATGCATACTTACTTCTTCTCTTCTAGATATAGCACTGCTGTACTTAAATTGGGACACCTTTTATACAACTCTTTGAAGAGAACTTCATAGAAACCAAGCTGATCACTTTGAAACAAGATACTAGGTTTTTGCCAAAGCTCACTCAAAACAAGCTGTCTGAATGAAACCTAGGAATTATTACTGGCTCCTACAGTGCCATCCACCACCATCAAGGCATGTACCAAAACACCACCCAAACTTGCTTGGAGCATTCAACTCTGTGAGCAACAGTAGATACCAAAAACGAAGTGTCAAGAGAAAGCCGGAGTTAAGAGAGACTGGCAAGGGAGACGGGACGGTTCGGTGAGTACTACACTAACCTATGCAACTCAAGCTGGTTACAGGCAAATCACTACTATCTAGTTATGGGGCAGTAGAAGAAATGCCAGTGCTTTCAGCCTGGTTTGCTAACAGGTAACTATGCATCTACATCTACAGGTAACTACAGCAATCAACCCCAGGTGGCATTTCCCAAATTTGAGAGAATAAGTGGACAAAAGGACAAAACCCTGAGACGACTGCAGTTAATATAGAATATTACTGTGAGGTCAGGGATGCCAGGATTTCAGCTGGAGTCTTACAGCTAAAATACTATATACATAGCAAGCTAGATGCAGAAACACAAGACAAACAGGGGAAGGCATCTTAATTTTCATTATCCTTTTGATGGTGGTTGGCTGCAGAAACAATTCTGGTCTTTCAAAACACTCATTTCCAAATTCGAATTTTAAAAGTCAATTATAGTGAATCAACTGTATTTAACACAATTGCATCTGCATCATCCTGAAATTCCCTGACTATGCATGTTTCTTACCAACAAAAAACCTTAGTTGCCTTTTAAAAATCAACGATGTGTATCAGTTTATAATTTAAAGCTAAATGATAAATTAATGTGAGAAACTCTTATTGCAGTTCAAAAACAATTTGTCATCTCTATTTTCTTCCTAACAGACACATACAGAAACTTCCACAAGAACAGCACATTCACTGAATCTTCTCGAGCAAAACAGCCCAATCTGCACTGCTTGATCAAGATGTTCCAGTCTACAATAGCTTCATGACAGGCAAAACTAATTCTGGCAATTTGGCTAAGGTACTGGCAGTTTAGGGTATTTTTACTACTTTTTAAAACA